TGGCCCACTGGACATGGTGAACTGGCAGCCTTGTTTTGAACAGGTCATTCCCTTCCTCAAAAGTCTGCAGAGGCTCCCCTTGCCCATTATCATCAATGATTTTGATATCTTCCCCTTTTATGGTAAACTAATGGAACCCTTTGCTTCTAATGGACTCTTACAGATAATAGTGGACCTGCTTTAATTGAAGTCAGGGGGTTGGAATGTCCTTCCAGCTTCTCCCTTTGTCCTTCGTTGCCCCCCCAGGAGACATCCTCATGGAACTCTGGGATTCGAGGAGGGCAGCACAGAAACATTTGGCTTATGAAATGCAGGCAACAATCAGGTGGTCCATTTGCTTCAGAATGACAGTCTCCTTCCCAGAAAGGCAAACCACCAACATGTACAATGGCACCTTGCAGCTTTGCTCCAGCTGTCCACCTGGTCAACCCATCAGGACCATCAGGCCTAGATTCCCCGCCTAAGTCTGGTCTCACTCAGCTGTGTGTCTTCCCAGTCAACCCAGTCCCCAAGGGACTGATTCTTCCTCTTGACCCTGGTCTCCCTTGTGCTTGTCAGACACCCTCCGCAGGCAGGGAACAACAGACCCTGGGGAGCTCTGAGAACAGAGGCGCCTAGGAGGAGCTATTTCCAACCCAGAATGTTCTGGCCAGCTGCCCAGGCTTTGTTCCGATTTCTGATGTTCTTTAGAATCTTCTCATTACATCACTGAGAGAAGCACAACTAAGTGGTACTCTCTTTCTTTTTAATAACTTTTATGGTGTTTTCTGATTATAAATGTAACATATGGCCAATATGTTGGAAGAAATTGGTAAAATACAAAAAAAAATTTTAACGAAAAGAAAGATAAAATTTAATAGGTAGTTTTGAGAAGCAGTTTTTTTTTTTAGGAAGAATTACTGCATGTTGGGGAGAGGAGGGATGGTAGGTGGAATGATGAGCCCGAGAAGATTCCATACCCTAATCCCTGGGGCTGTGAATATACTGAGATCCCACGCTAGTGACTACGTTACCCTACATGCGTGGCCAAAGGGATTTGGCAGATGTCATTATAATTGTATTCACTTCCTAGGGCCATGTAACAAAGTATCACAAATTGGGTCACATAAGACAACAGAAAAGACCTAAATTAAGGTGTTGGCAGGGCCGTGCACTCTCTCTCTTAGCTGCCGGTTGTTACCAGCGGTTCTTGGCATCCCTTGGCTCGAAGTTCCATCACTCCTGTCTCTGCCTCTGTCATCACCTGGCTGTATTTCCTCTGTGTTCACACGGCATTCTCCTCTCTAGGTTTCATTGTCCCTGTCTCTTTTTATTAGGACACCAGTCATATTGGATTAAGGGTCCACCCTACTCCTCATCTGACCTCATCTTCAGTACACCTGCCAAGACCCTACTTCCAAGTAAGGTCATATTCACAGGTACCCAGGGTTAGAGCTTTAACACATCTTTGGGGGAGATACAGTTCAACCCACAACAGCATTACTGGTGAGTTGATCTTAAAATAGGGAGATCGTTCTGGATTATCCCAATACAATCACATGCACCCTTATAGGCAGAGAACTTTCTCGTGCCAGAATCAGCGAGCTGCAGCACCAGGGGAAGACAGAAAGATCCCAAGCTTGAGAAGGGTTCCCCATGCCATCGCTTGTTCTGAGATTTAGGGAGCCACGTGCAAGGAGCAAAGAGAGGCCTCCAGGAGCTGAGGATGGTGCCTGGCTGACATCAGAGAGGAAATGGGTACCTCGTTCCTACAACCACGAGAAACTGGACTCATGCAACAACCTAAGTGGGCTTGGAAGTATATGGTCTCCCAGAGCCTCCAGAAGGGAACTGCCAACACCTTGACTTCAGCCTTGGGAGACCTGGAGCAGAGGAATCAGCTGAGCTCTACTGTGCCTAGTTTATGATCCATGGAAACTGAGAGATGATAAATGGGGTTAAGACTAAATTTATGGTAATTTGTTAAGCAGCAATAAGAAAGGAGAATATAAAGAATAACTAGGTTTCTGTCTTGAGCACTTGGTGGGTGCAATGGTCTTTACCTTGGTGAGGAAAATCTGAGAGAAGCAGGTGAGGTGGGGCAGAGCGCCAAGGACGGCAATATTTGCGAGACCTAGGAGAAAGCTCTGTGAGGACAGCAGGTTCACAGCTGGACTCATGAGCCCGGGGTTTAGCCCAGGTTGGGGGTAGTTACAAAGGTGGGAGCCATGGCCCAGAGACAGTGTTCTCAGTGTTCACTGTGATCACCCAGAAGGGAAGACAGCCCAGACTGAGCCTGGAAAACTTCCCACCCTGGCTGAGGGGAGGGGCGAGGGGAAGAAGGGAAACCAATAAGGAAACTGGATGACATGGCCTCGCAGAAAGGAGAGGTCGATGTGGTACCCGCTGTGAGACGTCTAGTAAAATGCGGCCTCAGAAAAACCCATTTCAGTTTCTTATACAATAAACATACACCCACCATACGACCCAGCAACCCCATTCTACCCAGAGAAATGAAAACCTATGTTCATTGAGACACGTGTCTACAAATGTTTACAGTGACTTTCTTTGTAATCACCCAAACCTGGAAACAACCCAAATGTCTTTCAATGGGTGAATGAAAAAACCATGGTCCATCCATACAATGGAACACTACTCAGTCCTAAAGAGGAATGGGCTGTGGATACACACAATAGCCTGGATCCAAAGGCTGTATGCTGTAGGATTCCATTTATGTGACATCCTCAAAAAGACAAACTGCAGGTGCAGAAAGCAGATCAGTTGTCACCAGGGGCCGAGAAAAAGAATGATTACAAAGGCGTACCATGAAGGAATTGTGGGGGGTGGTGGTGGATCCGCATTTTATATCTTGATTGTTGCGGTGATGGTTACAGGACTCCACACATGTGTCCAAACTGAGCTGAACATGTCAAAGTGTGAATTAATTTAACCTTAATTTTTTGGGTGAAGGGAAATATTAGTTAAAAAATACCCTATGAATCTAGCCATGTGGAAGTCAGCAGTGGCTTTCAGAAGAGCTGTTTGGGGAGACAACAGGCCTAGAAAGCAGCCAGAGGAGGCCCATGAGGGCCTTGTGGGGAGGGGAGTGAAGAAGCAGAGACACAGAGCACAGACACCCGTTTATCAAAGGGAGGAAAGGCAGAAGATGGCAGGAGACCAAGGCTGAGGGTTGAGTTGACCATAGCCCTCGGTTCATGACCCACTTCCATCTTCAGTTTGTGCCAGGCCCGTCCCTGTCATTTCCCTTTAGTCCCTGACGCCCACAGGCTCCCATGCTAATGTGTCTGATTCATGCTTGAATATGTATGTATGCATCTGTAAAATATGAAATATTCCCCCACTCGCATTTGTGCTTTTCATTTACATAAATGGCGTTATGCAACTGGCCTCATTCTCTTTCTCCTCTTTCACTCATCACATTTTTTTAAAAGATCTGTTCTTTCTCATGGTTCTGCAGCACTGGCTCATTGCTCTGGGAGGTAGGTAGTATTGGCTCATTGCTCTGGGAGGTAGGTAGTATTGGCTCATTGCTCTGGGAGGTAGGTAGTATTCCTCAGTGAATGTCCACTGCACTGTGCCCTCCATTCTCCCAGTGATGGACTTGAGGTTGCCTCCAGCTGCTCTCATGGACATCTCTGTGCACGTCCCCATGGCACCATGGGATAATTTATTTGTAGTACGTCCCCAAGAGTGAGATGGCTGGGTCAGAGTGTACTAAGCCTCAGTCCTAACTACCAGACTCCTTCCCTGATGATTCCGCCCATCTACATGGCCACCAACAGTGGAGGGACACAAGACAGGGACCAGGTTTTCCACACGGGATCGTGGGTAGATGGAATCATTTCTTCCTCAACTCCTCAAGTTCCCACAGAGAGGCAATTTCTACTCCTCTCCCCACGAGAGAAATGCACTTACGACTGCTTCTCCTCGCTCTGCCTTCCATTCCCAGGAAGAGTGGCTTGTGGGGTTGTGAGCATACAGAGCATCTGTGTGAGGCCTGCAGGTCCTGAGTGTTTTCTCTTTGGGGTCCCCACCCAGGAGATGGGTCTCTGGGACCCCTCTCCTCCACATGGTTTACTTACAAGAGTCAGCTCCGCCCCAGGCAGTGGGAGGCCTACAGCTCTGCTATCAAGGGAATGAAGTATTAGAAAGCCCAGTGGAGGCCTGCAGGTCCTGAGTGTTTTCTTTTTGGGGTCCCCACCCAGGAGATGGGTCTCTGGGAACCCTCTCCTCCACATGGTTTACTTACAAGAGTCAGCTCCGCCCCAGGCAGTGGGAGGCCTACAGCTCTGCTATCAAGGGAATGAAGTATTAGAAAGCCCAGTGGAGGCCTGCAGGTCCTGAGTGTTTTCTTTTTGGGGTCCCCACCCAGGAGATGGGTCTCTGGGACTCCTCTCCTCCACATGGTTTACTTACAAGAGTCAGCTCCGCCCCAGGCAGTGGGAGGCCTACAGCTCTGCTATCAAGGGAATGAAGTATTAGAAAGCCCAGTGGGTCAAATTTTCATCCTCAAGTGTAACTGCAATAATTAAGCAGATATTTTGATTTCTCTTCGTTTGAATCCTGCAGCCATCTCCCAATCGGTATCAAACTCAGGGATATATGGTGGAAAGGTTATGATTTCCTATTACCTTAAATCCCTAACCCATTGAGAAATGGGTGCAGGGTCAAGCATTTGGGGCTTCAGTGATTGAGGCTCAGGCTCATCATAAGACAAGGTCTCATAATCCTTAAACTCTAGCAGACATAGTAAAAAATATGGGATAGATATATCCCATAACTATGGCATTCATTACTGACTCTGCTCTCCTCTCCCACTCTGGGGGACTCGGCCTGACAGAATCAACACAAGTATTAGGTAAACCTGAGTCTGAAAAAGACAGGAGCAGGGGGGGAATTGAGGAAGAAGGCACTCATGTCCACCAAACACTGCTCACCCTATATATGGAGTAGAAGGACAGGGATCCAGTTAAGAAACAGGTCAAAATGCGAAAACTTACCGAAGACCGTCTGACAAAAGGCAGAGGGAGACGAATCCTGGAGAGTCACGTGAATGCTGCAGCATGGTGGAGAGCCAAGTGGCAGGAGAGAGATTTGTAGCTGCCACCCACGTGGCACACATTCAAGGCTCTGGGGAAAATCAGACAACAGCGTTGGTCCCTACAATGTCCCTGGTAGCTCAGGACTCAAAGTACCTCCTGCAGCTCCAGGTATGGAATCTCAGAGAGAGCTACTCCAGCTGAGGCACACATGGGGACAAGGGGGCATCCATCCCTTGAGATGGATTTCATGGGCTTGAGACATTTAATATGGCTGCTCACGAGAGGTGGTGGAGGCTCTGTCTCTGAACAGAGTCCTTACTGAGTTCATCTTTAAATGTCAGGATTAGAAAATTAGGAGGGGATGTAGAAACAAAGACATCCTCTACCTACAAAATGTTAAAAAGAGGAATACCTCAAATGACACCAGGTGACAGGCTATGTCCATTCCATATATTTAAAACTTTTGCTGAAAAATCAAAGCAACTGAGAAGCCTCCCCATGATGTAGAAGAGAGTCCATACAATGGACTTTTCCCCACCGATCTGAGGTTGGGGGACCCAGAAGCAGAGCCTGAGGCAAGGATTTTTGTGAGGGTAGTTTGTTTGGAAGATGATCCCAGGAAACACCAGTGGGAGATGAAAAAGTGGAGTGGGGAAGGGAAGAAAGTCAACAGAGGGGCACTGCTATGGGCACCTGAGACTCAGTCCCACTGGGAACCCTCTGAGGGACTGGTCGTGTCCACTTGGGCAGTGAGGAAGCTGCAGTACTTACCCACCAACCCCTCCTGCACATCATCTCATTAAGGGCACTACTTCTGGGGGTTCAGCTCACTAGCACTTCTGGACAGCCTCACACATGGTCCAAGCACACTCCCACAACCAGAGACAGCCCTTGGCCGTGGAGTTGCAGGGCCTTGCAAGAGGAAGCCAGCCACATGACAGGCACCGTGAGTGTGAGGAGGATGCAGAAGGGGCACCAATTACATCTGGAAAACAGTGTGCTCCAGTCAGCCTCTAGAAGTTAGACAATTTCTCCCAGCAGAGTGTCATTCTCACGACACCAGACAACGTGTAGCCGGAGGCTGGCATCACGATGAAGAGTTTTTTCCCTCTACCCTCCCTCAGACACTGCTGAATCGATGCTCTTTCAGTAGGTGGTCATGTGTATTTGGATTCATGGAAATAATGGGCTCTGCTTGTGATAACTGCATTTGGGGCTTTTCCCCTTCGTGTTTCTGAATCTTATGCCTGTGAGTCCATGCTGTGATGGTCCCGTGTGTCCTCTTCAGTCTCTTTGCCATAAAATGTGAACGCTAGACTTTAGGTTGCATGAATCAAGCTTGGGTGTCCTGAAGGAATCTCAGTGAAAGACACCCAAACGATGGCAGGAGCGGGACTTAGACTCCATCCAGGCGCGTGACTGAGACCTTCCAGTTAAGGCCACGGAGTTGACATTGACAAGGGTGATTTGGGATATAAATTTTTGTGAAGTTTTTAACAAGTTTTATTTCCAGTATCTTAGGTTTCTATTTACAAGCAGGTGTTGGAGTACTGGAAGTTTGAATTGAATGCTATTATTCAAGTTTAGGAGAGTTCTCTATCACGGCCATTATAATAACAGAGCTTTTAAAATCTATCATTTGAGCTCATTTCCTGACCTCGGCTGAGCCCTTGGTACAATAGGCATCACCTGAGCTGGGAACACAGAGGGAGCGGACTGTCAGCAGAGGATGTAGGTCTCAGAGTTGATTTGGTTAATGTACAGTGCTGACGCATTTCAGAGCCTTTAGGGAAAGAGCTAAATTGCCCACCCTTGTGTTCTAGAAGATTTAAGGATTCTTTTGATGTCAGGACACAACACAATGACACTCAGAGGGATGAAAGGCAGAAGTCTTTGTCGCTTACAGCTCTGAATGAAAGAAGGCTGCCAAGGAGAGCCACACACACAGAAGCTTCCCCCAAGCTGAGGTAACAACCCACTTGAGCGGAGGGGGCAGCTTGTGTCCCGCAAGCAGTGGGGGGTTAGCTCCGTTACTGGGGCTCTGGTGGATTGGCGAATGTGAATAATGTCCTATAGGCACCGTTGTCGCTCCTGGTCTGGGACCTGGCCCCAGGGCACTTGGGGCTGGTACATCTGGCCTAGAGCATGAAAGCCTGCTCAAGGAAGAGGTTGGGAGTGTGGGCTTAACCCGCTGCTCAAAACAGGGGAACAGACCAGTCTCCAGCCAGGGCTTCAAGACTGGGTCAGAACAGCATACACAAACAAACAAACAATCTCTATTACTCTTGGTCTCAGGATGATGAAAAAAATAGTGGTTGGTGCTGGGGAGTGGCCACAGGACTGTGGCATCAGTGCGCCCGGATAGACTGCCCATCTCCTCCCGAGGAGAGACCACACCCCTGGGGAGACCGTAAGTTTAGACCCAGGGTCAGTGGACAAAACTTGGGTATGTCAGAGAGCACCATTCTCCCCCTGCTTTTCTGCCTTTACACCAGGACCGGTCCTCAAGCCTGTGAAGAGACCAGCACATTCTTGCGAAGGGTGAGGGCTAGGGTTACAGATAGGATGGAGCCCTCATGATGGGAATAGTGCCCTTAGAGGAAAAGAAAGGAAAGAGCTTTCTCCCTCTGTCTCTGTCTCTCTATCTCTCTGTATCTCTGTCTCTGTCTCGTCTTTCTCTCTCTTTCTTTCTCTCTCTCTCTCATGTAACAAAAAGCCAGCTATCAGCAAGCCAGGAAGTGGGCTCTCACCTGACACTGGATCTGTTAGCTCCTTGATCATGGACTTCTCAGCTTCCAGAACTGGAGACGTAAATGTTCGTTGGTTAAGCCGCTCAGTCTCTGGCATTTTCATTATAGCAGGGCTGAAGTGCCAATGGGTGGCACCATGAAATTCCCTTTGAATGCTCACTCCATCTCAACCACATCGGTTTCTTTGAAGCGGTTCATTCTCCAGCCCTGCTCATGCCCCCGCCCTCACCGCAGCACTAGAAGCTCCGTCCTCAGTGCTCTGACTGCTAACCGCACTGTGCATGTCTGTCCATCTCAATACCTCATCGATCTTCAGGGAGAGAATGTTGTCTGTATTCTCCTTGGATCTCCAGGGCCTGGCATTGTGAGTGACTCCTATTAGGTGGTCAGTAAATGAGGGAGCGGATACTCTGCCAGCGAGAGGAAGCCAAGGGTGAACTTGACTCGCAGGTGTTGGAAGAGATGCATTTACTTGGCGTGCCCAATGTAATTACAGGTCTCAGGTGATTTAAAGGCTGTTTCTGCAGGAGCCAATAAATCTTTTAGGGCTTGTTGTCCAGCATAATCGCCCAGCTTGTCTTTGGCTTTTTAAATGCAGCAGGTTATACATCTGAGACTCTGGGAGTCCAACCAGTGAACCTGCACAGCAGAGAACAGTCGGGCATGAGGTTAGAGGGGACAAGAGCCACTGTGGCGCCTTGGCAAAGGCTCTCATGGGAGAGAGGGTCCACGTGGCTGAGGAAAACTCAGGGACCAGAGAGTGGGGAGTGTGGCAAATTGCATTACTTGCCCCAATTCTTACCCTTCCCTGTGTCCACATCATTTACCATGTGACTTCGTGTATTTTCCCCCTCTAGATTTTGTATTTGGCCAGGGGACCTTCCTTGGCCAGTAGAAAGATGAATGAGTAGAGTCTAGTCCTCCAGCGGCCTTACCTATTTCTTTTTGTTCTCTGGTACCTTTGCCATCACCGGGAGAATGAGATTCCCAGGCTGGACCCCTGCTCCCAGGAAGAAGATGAGGAGATGCATGAGTACTTCCTGTGGAATGTCACTGAGGTTTTGTGATTTGGTGGCTCTGGCTTAGGCCATTACCCAGAGCCGCCAGAAGCACAATGGGGACAGAGGGCAAAGGCAGAAGGATGTCAAAGAGGGTTGACAAGTGCTGTCATTGAGAAGCCACGTGCATGCTCAGACCAGGTGCACTGGGGGTGGAGAAGCCAGGGGAGAGGGCATGCACCAGTGGAGCACCCTCCAGGGCAGGAGACAGGAGCAGAAGTCTGAGGAATTTTCCCTTGAGCAGCTCGTGCTGTCTGTCTGGAGCTTGTTCTGATCAGTGCCTGAAAGTAGAAGGCTGGGCATCATCCATCCACACTCCCATCAGGTACAACATTCAGGCTCTGGTAGCTGCTTGCTAGGGGGCGGGAGAGCTGGGTCCTAGCTGCAGATTTGCGGCAAGGCCTCTGGGTGCTCCAAGGCAGTCACTGCTCCTGTCTAAACTTCCGTGTCCCCAACAACAAGCAGGGCATTGAGGTTTATTCATGTTGTCCTCACTGAGGACCGAGGGTGACAGAGCAGTCACTGAGGCAGAGGAAAAAGGACAGGTAAGGCACACACTGGTTCTTATAGTCTGTGCCTGGAAGGGACAAGCTTCCACTGACTTTTCATGGGCCAAGGCATGTCCATGACCAATTTAATTTCAACGGGCAGGGAAATGCAATTTTACCCTGTATCTGGAGGGAAAAAGACACGGAACAATTGCAAACAGCCCTGATGATTACTATGCTTCCCATATAGCTGGATACTTTTAATGTTTTAAAATATTAAACGTATCCTTCTTCTAGCCACAATCATCATTATTGTCCCTTCGTCTACTTCTCCTATAATATAGTTTCTCAATTATGTGTTTATAATCCAGATATCGACTAGGGTCACCTGTCTTTGAGATTTAAATTAAACTGGCTGGGGGCGCCTGGGTGGCTCAGTCGGGTAAGCCTCCAACTCTTGATTTCGGCTCAGGTCATGATCTCAGGGTTGTGGGGTCGAGCACGGCATCTGGCTCCGTGCTCAGCAGGGAGACTGCTTGTCCCTCTCCCTCTCCCTGCTTGCTCACTCTCTCTGTCTTTCTCTCTTTCTCATTCTCAAATAAATAAATAAATAAAATCTTTTTAAAAAATGTAACTGGCTGAATCCCCATCTCTCTTCCTTTGGGAAGTCCAATGTTGTGTTCCAAGCATCCTGTGAATTCCTGGGGTCATCACCAGGGCCACCTCCAGCAAGTCTTGTCCCCACTTGTCTGTCACCTGCAGTAGCTTTTTTCTCCTCCCTGGTCCATTCTGACATGAAAAAAAATTAAAAAGCCCCCTTTTCCTTGATTTCTCTTGAATTTATTCACACAAAGCGTCTTTGTGCAGAGCAGACTTTGCTGAAGGTTTGCACAGGGAGAAAGATTACATCTCAGACATATACAACCTAAAACTGAATATCAGGCATTCCTGTTCTCCTGAGTCTTTGGGTCACCTGGCCACTGGGAGGTTCTCTCTGTCCTTTGCTCTGCAGGTGAAACTTTGCCATTGGGTATACCTGCCTCTCTTGCTAGCTTCTACCACTCTTTATTATGGACAGTAATATAGTTCGCTATTTGGCCTCTACTTGGCCCCAGGGATATGTTACATACAGACACTCAGTGTCTGCTAAACAAAGTACATCTACTGTGGGTCCTGGGCAGCTCAGAAGCCTGGCAGAGGCTCTGAAATTCCAGTCCCCACCCGCACCCCTGGTCCCCTCCATAAGTAGAAGGGAGCAGTATAGAGATTTATGTGCCCATAGACACAGGCTTTGCTGCTTCCCCTCGCTCCATCCCTTAAAAGGCAGAAGTTGCTAAAGTCAGTTTTGGTTTTAAATAACTCTCTCTCTCTCTCTCTCTGTTAAATCTAGTCTCGCTTGTCTTTGTGAAGCAGTCGTATGTGAATGCCAGGTCATGCACCCCGCCACCCGCCCACGGGGATGGTACTAGGCTTCTCTTCATTTTACAGATGAGAAAACTGAGACTCAGGAGGACCAGCCGTTGCCCAGGTCTCCCACTGGAATGCAAACCCGGACTGTAGAACAAATCTCCCTTTCTGCTCAGTCAAACTGCCATCTCTCTTGACCTCACACCCTTTACAAGAAAGGTCTCTGCTTAAAAGAATTCAAGAGAAGCCATAAAAATTACCTGAAGGAGTGTTTCCTGCCATCGTTTGACTTTTATCTTCATCTTGAAATGCACTTTTAAGCCAACAAGGGGGATGGACGCCCCCAAGTCTGCACCGGGGTTGGGGGGAGCAGAGAAATGGAAAAGGGCTTGTATCTGAGCCTGCGGAGGGTACCGCTGTGCCCGGAGAAGCAGGGCTTCTGGACGCCCATGGGCCCGTGGAGGCCCCCCGGGGCCCCCTGGGACCCCTGGGGAGTGTCAGGGGAGAGGTGAGTGGGGGCTGAGGGCGGGGTGTGCAGTGAATTATTCATAGTCGCTTCAAGGAGAGCTTATCAAGTTTCAGCCATCCCTACCGGGCAGTTCATAAACATTCCCTTACATTTCCCTCTCGTTCCCCAAGAGACTTCTGCCACATCCTACTGCAAAGTGTGATGGCTTCTCAGTTCAGGCGTGTGAGGGGCAATTCAATGGCCTGACTGTGTAGTAGGGATGATCCCTTCCACTGGACTTTACACCTTGAGAAATGCTCAAATATCCCCATTTCACAGATGGGGAAATGGAATCCCCAGGAAGTAAAGAACTCACCTAGGATCTTGCAACTCCTTGGTAACAATGGTGAGACTGGGCCCCACATCACCTGCCCTCCAGTCCTGAAACACTCTGGGACCCCAAGCCTGCCAGGATGTGGCAGCCAACAGCAACTCCAGGAGACATCACTGTCAGAACCAGGCACCTGGTGGCCCGATGCCTTCGACAGGGTCTCATTAACGTGGGTAGGACTGTGTTTCCCTCTAGGGGTATCTGGGACTGGCAACAATTTTACCACAAAATGATGTTACTCTCTACTTCTTTGGGAGGGCATAACCCTTCATACGGTGAACCTGTGGTGTGGTTGTTTCCGAAGAATTGCTTTGCAGATAATTTATATAGGGAAAATTCCTGGTCTGGGGTTGTATCCACGCTACAAGGACGCCCTAATAAATTACATTGGATCTGAAAATACCGTGTGTTTTCCTTACCACATTTACTTTCCAAGTTCTGCATTTTCTTTTTCTTTTTTTTAAGATTTTATTTATTTGACAGAGAGAGACACAGCGAGAGAGGGAACACAAGCAGGGGGAGTGGGAGAGGGAGAAGCAGGCTCCCCGCCGAGCAGGGAGCCCGATACGGGGCTTGATCCCAGGACCCCAGGACCATGACCCGAGCCGAAGGCAGACGCTCAACGACTGAGCCACCCAGGCGCCCCCCAAGTTCTGCATTTTTTAAGAACATAAAAGAATGTACTTCTGAAAAAGCTGGATACTAAAGAAAGGGAAAATGCTCCAAGATGATAACACTCCTGCAGTTTCAAAGGGGCTGGTGCTAGTGGTGACCACTGAGAAGTGGCTTTAAACACTCTTGTTTTCAAAGTATCTCCTTCCCGGTCAGCTCTCGTCCAGCCTCCCTGCTGTGCGGGAAGCAGAAAGTTCAAGATTTCCAACTGTGCTGTGAATGGGAAAGCAAATCCACGGTGGTGGGTGGTGCAGCAACTCACTGCGGGGGTTCTGCTTCCCAGGCTTTTCGAGGTCACCACAAGAGAGCTCTAGCCAACCCTCCTCCCTCTGTTTTCCTTGCCACAGGCATTACCAGGCTGCAGTATAATGGGAAAGGCTCTGAAGATCTGGGTTCAAATCTTGCCTCTCTCACCAACTGCTGAGGTATCTGGGGCACTTTGCTCACCTTTGAGGCTCAACTTCCTCATCTATACAATGAAGACAATGGAACCAAGGCCAGGAATAGAGGAGAAAAATATGGGTCCATCTTCATAATGAGAACATTTAATCATCTGTGAACTACTTCTGAAGGATTTGTCTCTAAAGGTGGAGTCAGGGCTGCCATTTTGCCTGCCCCAAGTCCACCCAAAGGAAGGGTGGGAGGCAGCCCTACTTCCTGCTGTGGAAATTGGGGAAATGTTTCTTTTTCCATGTCTCCTGACAGCTAAATATGGGTTCAAGGCCTAAACATGACCAATCAGGTCTTCAAGCCCAGGATTTTGAATCTGAAGAGAATGACACAAAAGGGTAGGGTCTGTTGGAGGTTTTTCCATGTGACTGGGTGGAAGAGAGAGGATGCCAGACATGGTAACATGTGGGCTGTGGTGGGGGTGCCCGCTGGGGCAGGGATCGAGTGTCTAGCAACTGGGGTCTCATGGGCAGACTCTTCCTGTTGGCTCTTTGTCTTCCCACATCTTCTGTGAGCTGCCCAAAGCCCTTCTGATAAACTCAATTCAGGCATAAATTAAGGGGAAGCAGTTTCTGTTGCTTCTAGCCAATAGTTCGGACTCACAGATTCTCTCAAATGCTACAGTCAGAGAATGGAACAAACCTGATCCTTAAAACGTGAATTGTTTCTCAGTTGTAGGAAATGGACAGTTTGGTTCTTCAGAGGCTGACTTTGCCATGATTCCT